CGCTACTGTCAATTTGGCATCATCAGATTACGTTGTTTTTAAATGATGCATTTTTTCTATCCCATTTCAGCTGTTTTTTGAATTTAAAATTCTGTAGACTGTGGGATACCTCCAACATTTATATTTAATTATGTTTGTTGTTGTTTTAATATGATTTATTAAATATAGATAAATTGCGTTGATATAAAGTTTATCGAAGTATATATTTGTTAATTTGTTATATTGCATTATATATTTTCGAGGAAAGTTTTCTTGAAGTAACGTGTTGATAGACTGTGATTGACCATATATTTGTTAGTTTTGAGTTTGGATTTAGTTATGATCGCTGGTCTTGTGGTTTTGGTGAAATGACATCCCTTGCTCCTGTTAACTGGATGATTTAGGTTAACTTAACCCATGTTGGATGATATTGTAATGGCAAACTATAGACATTAATTTCAGTTTGTACCGCATGGGATGAAGAAGTTAACTGCGCCAGTAGTTTTGGTATGATAAGAACAACGTGTAGTCAAGATAAGGCAGGTTTACTGAATGAATTCAATAGAGTAGGTTTACTAGGTGACCACTACATATATACGACACCTATACTACGCGTTCTTCGTATAAACGTATTTATATGTATAACTTTATTTCTCAATATAACAATTTCATGTTATCGTATCAGTTTGTTGTATTCATACAAGTGGCTACTCAGTGTGTCCATGCAGTAATAATAATTTCTTAAGAAAGTATAAGTCACGAGCTTGCTGTTATCATTATAATATTTATAACTGAATCTCGTGTGATCAAGATTATTATCAATAAATTACACTTAGTTCCCATATGGTAGAGGGTATGAAGGATATAACTTGACACAGACTTGTTCAACATGACGTAATACCTGTCACCTAAACCCTGCATGCCTGGATTCAACCTCTTGCAAGAAACGCATAACGGTATTTTCAACTAATGACATTTTATTAATGTTAAGCATTTTTCAGGAGCACAGTTAGATCTATTTTTTTCAATGTTTGATGTGAATATAGAAAAGATGATTAATAAATACATACAAAGCAGAGTTATTCGCCTGTCTAGTGTCTTGACGTCACAAGTTGTTGTGAGGAAATGACTGAGCCAATTTCGAGGGAATTTGGTAGAGGAACTAGAATGGACTCTTCACAGACCGAGTCCAAATGAATAAACAATCGGACGAACAATTCAAGATTGGCAGTCATTTAATTATTTACTACTTGAAGCTGAAGCAATACGAAAGTCGCGTTTAGTGCAGAGCGTATCACAAGTATTTGGAATCAACGATTCGTATGCTACAATCATATCACTTTTATCCCATACTACTGCTTTATTGTCTACTTCACGAACTCTGGCTGCCCCTACTCGTCAGACCTGCATAGCGAATGACACACACGCCCGCCGTTCCACTATTTCCAAGAAGTCAACTAAATAAATAACGCGCCTGACGCGGGTATAATTGTTAATACATGGTGTTTTATACCATAGTGAACGTCATGTACAAAATATTAGAGATCCATTCTCTTAACCATACTATAACAGTGCGTGCCATTGAGATACCTCTTGAAAAGTGACAATTGTTGAATGAATTAATCTACTGTACTGTTATCCCTACCTGTTTCTGAACCCCTCTCAAAAATATTTTATTTTTCCAACCGCACTATCGTGTTCATGGTTTATCACCTGCTATCATTTTTTTTGGAGCATATAACTAAAAGGGGAGGGGTTGATGTCTCAGTGTTAAGTGGTCTGAACAGCAGTCATTTTTGTTTATCTCATGTAAACCGACTAGATCTGTCTTGAGATATGTTTTGCTATAAATACGAATTACCCGTTACACCTGAAATGTAAACACCCACCAGTAAAGATACGTGATGTGCTTCGTTATCACGTCGCTCAGCCCTTTCATCTTACTGTTTCGTGCTACTCATAGTGATAGAAGAAGTTAAAGAAAACAGCGAAAAGAATTTATCCAGAAGGTTTTAAGCCAGCATGGTTTTCAAACATCAAATTAAGCTAACACTTATTTTCATTTCCAAAGATAGAATTCCAGTCCTCAAGCGTTTCAATGTGGTTTAGAGTTTAGAACACTCTGTTTTCGCTATGAGCAAGGGTGTATTGGCTCCACCTACATAACTCTGGATACTCGCATTAAGGAATAGAGTAGGTCAACTTTGGAAGTGAAATCGATTTCCTTATTCGTGGGTTAGAATCTGCTTATTAGATTCTAATATTTCCTTGTACATGCAGTGACACATCGGTCGTGCCAAAGATGAATTCTGATAGTGTATGAAAGAAATTTTGCACATTACACTCTATGAGTCACCTGTCAATTGTAGAAGGATAGAGAAAAAAACTGACATCACGAAGCCATAACCATGTGTTCAACTTAATCTAGAACAGTTTCACGTCATGTGATGTATAAAAATTTAGAACAATAACCTGAATATATCTAAATAGATATATACTGTATATTTTACACTAGTGGCATTAATATGATAAATACAGTAACCACAAAAAGTTCATCATCACATGTTGAAAGTGCTACATACCGTGAACCTCATCAGGTCATGCATGTAATTAGCGTCTTCCTAGCAAGCTAGATGTACGAAGGTCGTAAACTTGCACTAAACCTCTTGTTTAGATAAAGGTTATATACTATAACGGCTATTCCATAGAAACTTGAACCTGCTTGGTCCCGTGTCTGTGTTTAATCGCTGGAGTGAGGTTATGATATAGGGACTTGTACAAGTTAGTATGAGTTTTGAGTTTTCTCCCTTGTATATGCTTGTTTGAAATGATCGTTGACGTAGGTAGTCTAAAAACTGTGCACTAGGACCCTGGTCTGACTACTTGAAAGTGTGGTATTTCATTCTTTGTGTTTTGGGTCCTAGTCATGAACGAAGGAAAATTATTTTTGATCTTGACCTTTCATTATTATTATTATCTTGCGCAGCCGTTTTTGGAAACATGTCTTCATTCCAGCAGCCAGTTGCATTCATAGAACAATATGGAAGCTAGCCAGTGAGCTAAAAATACATATTGATACATCCTACTTCGAAAAAAGATACTGTTTGTTCACTTGTTTTTCCTTTCCTAATCTGCATAACATTTCCATAACTCGCGTTTGGCGGGTACTTGTTTGTTTGTGGTGGATATCAATGTACCTGAATACTTGACAGTAGCACAGCGGTATGTCTGTGGACTTACAACGCTAGAATCCGGGTTTCGATACCCGTGGTGGGCAGAACACAGATAACCCATTGTATAGCTTAACTTCAAAGAATGTTCTTGAATGTTAATGATCAAGTGATTGCGCGAAATATCTAGAAGTAAGAATATTATCTAGACAACAGTAAGTGAAGCATTTTAGCCCCCCAGTGGCACAGTGGTATGTCTGCTAGAAACCGGGTTTCGATACCCGTGGTGGGCAGAGCACAGATAGCCCTTTGTGTAGCTTTGTGATTAATAACAAATAAACCTGAATACTATATTGGATAAAAATCTTCTATTCCGGCTGGACCAGTGGGAGTAAAGAACTGATTTTGTACAACTCGGTACAACTGGTTGAAGGATTTTTTTTTATGTATATTGGACTTTCGGCTGATTTTTGTATTTGATTGAAAGATGGTTCTCAAAAATACTGAAAAATAAATAATAACAAACTTGGTTATTCATTGAATACGCAGATAATTTAATTAAATTATAACAACTCACATTTGTAAGTTTTACAATTAAACAGATCAACTTCTTTCTGGTATTGAAATTGATATATATAACTGAAAATAACTCCAAATCACAATGATGCTAATTTTCTGCTTTGATTTTTTCTAGCAAATGTGCAAAAAAAACGACCTAAAACATTTAGAATGTTAATTCTTGCTAATTCTTAAGG